GGGACAACTTCTGGACATGATATTTAAGTCTCCCTTTATAAATGTGTTGATCAAAATCATCTTTCTGAGCTCGAGGATATTTGGGTCTTTTTGGAACCCAAACATGCTGTCCTCTCGCAGTTACATACCGATGACCACCAGCATCGGAATATACTTTTGAATGACCAGATTCATGATACCATTGTCTGAGCCTTCATTCATCATATTTTCGATTATAGCCTTTTAAATGTAGACTATCAGAAGGCTCCCCCGACTGTCTTCTTCCATAATATGGGTATCGACCCATATTAGGATAAAATTCTTTTGGTTGTCAGTAATAAGGAGGACGTTTAAACTCCTTTCTATAAGGTCTTGTTGAGAATTTATTATTCTGAGGATGAATCATATTTGAGGAAATAACTTTAGTAACAGATTTCATCAGTCTTCGTTGTAGATTTCTATCTTTGACATCCTTCAGTATTTTATATATTTTGTAAGAGGCAGATTCTTCCTTCTTTAGTGGTAGTGGCTGCTGATGCGAAGTCTCCCAGAAAGACTTCTTTAATTTTCCTTTGTCATCATTTCTCTTTACCCACTTTAACAATTCAAAGCCGTTATTAGTCGGGACATTTTCTTCTAATTGCAGTGATGACTCTTGAAGGATATCGGGCACCCATCCATTAGCTCGTAAGCGAGCATTGGCCTTTCTTCTAGCTTTCTTGGAAAGTTTAGCACCAGCTTCAAGAATTTTAACATTGTATTCTTCAGGCACTTTATCCTGAACTATGTTCTGACCACTTGTATTCACACCAACAGATTGCAGCTTGGGATCAGAAACTTTCTTTTGAATTACTGGAGCAGCAGTAGTTGTCATAGAGAGCCTTGAAAATACAGAGGCCCTCTTAGGAGCCTTCTCATTAATAGCTTCAGAAGTAGGCTTTTTAGCGACACCTTTGGTAGTGGCTGCACTAACAGTATTCTCAGGAATGAACTGTTCGAACTGCATGACTTCAGAAATGGTTCCAAATTGAATGGTCGCTCCAGCATAGCCTGTATTCAGAATAGATTATGGGAATTGCACTCTGGCTCCCTCACCTAGTTTCACAGTCATGAAGGACTTTGCAGGCGTCATGTTATCAACCTGCCAACAGAACTTATAGAGATTAGAGTCAACCTGAATTCTACTGGAAAAGAAAACACAAGCTTGTGATGAACGAACATCTATAATTATTTTAGATATTTTATTAATTGAGACTAAACATGAATGTCTTTTCATCCAAAGATGGAGAGAAAAGTAATCCCCAGCGGAGTTGCCAGAAATTTGTTGGCTCAAGAAAAATGGCATGAGTGCACGTATCCCGGTTTGTAGCTGTAGGATTCCATTTCCCTTAAGTCAGATTGAAATTAACCAGATTTCCCCTTAGGGTAGTATCATGGTTTATATATCTGGGGTTCTTACTTCCTATGAGCGCAAGCACTCATAGTTAATTACCTCTCTTAACACGTAAGAGAGAACTCTCAATTAAGGATGAATATATTTTAGGTAATTAAGTCTCAATTGTAGGGGAAATGGAGTTAAACCATATCAAGATCCCATGGTTCGGTCGTCCCAGGTATATCGTAGGTTTCAGTCTACCAACACTAACAATCATTGATCGTAGTGTCCAGAGAATCTGATTAGCAGCCATGGGTTGCCTCCTCTCAGGGATCCCGAGTAGACTGAAGTGGTTAGATTTTGATTTTAGTTTTAATTTAATTTGAGTTGGGGCTTACTACTTCCTTAGAAGTTGCCCATTAATTTGTTTAATTTGGGGCTTACGGCTCCAATTAGGAGTTGCCCAGGGATTTAAATTTGATTTGGGACTTACGACTTTCATAGAAAGTAGCCCAAGATTTTTTATTTAAATTGGGACTTATGTCTTTCGTAGAAAGTAGCCTGAAGGTGGGCCTTACAACGTAACCCTATAGGCTAGGATGCCCGTAGGTTTGAATTAGAATATTTGGGTTTTAGGTTCATTATAATTTATTTAGTAATTTTCCTAAAACGTTGGGCCTTACAACTTCCTTAGAAATTGCCCAAAAATGGGTCTTACAACCTAATCCTATAGAATAGGATGCCTAGAGGTTTGAATTTGGCTTTAATTGGATTTGGATTAGGTCTTATTGCTTCCTTAGAAGTTGCTTATTAATGGGTCTTACGACCTAGCATTATAAGCTAAGAGGCCCAAGTTGAGGGTCTACATAGTCCTTTAGACTAGGATGCCCAAGGGTTTGAATTAGATTGTTTGAGTTTTAGGTTTATTACAATTTATTTAGTATTTTTTTTTTAAATGTTGGGGTTTACGACTTAAATTACAAGTTGCCCAATAACGGGTCTTACAACCTATTCCTATAGAATATGATGCCCAAGTGAGGAGTCTAGGGTTGTATTATCACCTAAACATTTGCCTCAGAGGTCGGACTTTTAACTTCTATTAGAAGTGGCCGAGGGTTTTAATTGGGTTTAGGGGTTAGGTCAATTTCTACCTAAAACTTTCTCCTAAGGTCGGGCTTACGACTTTCCTACAAAAGTTGCCGGGTAGTGGGTCTTACAACCAAGTTCCTATGAACGAGGCTGCCCATGGTTCAAATTTTAGTTTGTTTGAGTGGACAATAGTTTTTTTTTTTTTTTTTTTTTGAAACTAGACGAACGAGATTTTCAGTTGGTTGTTTGTGATTTTGATATTTCAGAGTTTTAACACTAGCATTAGTGTTTGAGTTGTTCTGTTTTGTGCTCGTAGCTTGTTTTTATGATAGTAGTCCTCTACCCTACCTGTCTAGTACTGTTGTTCCACTAGCTTTTCGTACTTGACTTTCTTGCTTTTCAGCACTTCCCTTTACTAGTAGTGGCTAGATTTAATATTTTTCAGTATTTAATTTTATTTATAATTGTGCTAACTTTTATTTGCTTGTTTGCACATACATGATACTTGTTGTAGTTCAAGGAGCTTGCAGATAGTTGTGGGAGCTCGTATAAGAGGGACTTTGAAGATATTGTCAGATGTTCAAAGTCAATGAGCATTGAGAATTTGAAAGAAGTTCAATTTTGAGTGTGTATAGAGTTTCAATTTGTCTTGTTGGAGAGTTTAAGAATTTGAGATCAATTTGTATAAGGGATGGGGAGTTTGAGAGTTTAAGATAGCTTTTGTTGTAGAGAGCTTGTACAATTGTTTGGAGATTTCTGAGTTTTTGTATATGGTTGGGTTGTATGCATCAAATAGTGGGTTGTACTAAGGATCGAGGATTTGAAAGAATTAAAGCGGCTAAATGATGTTATTTTTGTATAGTTATTTCTTGATTTTATTTTATTCACACAATCTCTAATTATTTGCATTAATTATAAATGTTAGAAAGTATATATATTTTATGATCATATAGTCTTTTGTTTAATTGCATCCGTTACAAATGTTTAAAAGTTTCATTAAAGTGAAATGTAATACTTATATATATATATATATATATATATATATATATATACATTATAATACATATAATATATATTATAAGATATATATTATATATATTAATATATAGAGAGGGGGATCGGGAAGGAGCAAAGCCTGATTGGGCATGGAGGAGGCGGAAGTCACGCACGGGCTCGACGTCGGCAAGCGGCGGCGGAGGCTACTCAAGCGTGTCGGTCGGTTTCGGTTTGCTGGAGTCGACCGGCGGGGTTGATCGAAGAAGGAACAGAAGGAGTGACACGTGCAATCTTCTCGGCCTCCTGTGAAGCAACAGAGCCGAACAACAACGACGGAAGGAGAATATGAACGGTGAACCCCTAGACGTTTGTGCGAAGCAACGAAGTCGAACAGCGACGAGGGAACCGAATGGGCGAGCGTAAGTTTTTTTTTTTCACGGGATTCCTTCCTTTTTATCGCTTTGAATTGTCGGTGCCTCCGAAGAGGTGCGTCGTTTTGGCGAGATGGGGCCGGCTTGGAGGTATGTCGATTGCTTTGAAAAGAATTTTTTTTTTTAATATTTTTTGTACAGTCAACAATGATTTTGTGCTTAAACCTAATGAAAAATAGTTTGTCTTCATTCCTTAATTTATTAGTTATTGCTTCAAATCAAACAAATAATATAAATTAGATGAAAGTGTTTACATAAAATTTTATGTTTTATGATAGAATTGCACGCAACTTTTGACTCTCATCGAACCTTTTCTCAATTTCTCCTAAACAAAATAAATGGGTGAAAATTAAGTTCAGTACAACTTATTTATTTTTTTATTTTCATTTTCGATATTTTTCTTTCAAATGAATTGAAACAAGCAGCGTTAAGAAAAAGCTAATTATCTAATGCAATATTTCTGTTTCCCTTTTAAATTTCCAAAAAATTACGATTTTTTTTCAATTACAACAACTAAGAATTTATAAAATTTTGTCACATGTTCAGATTTTTTGGAGGTCCGTATTCAATTAATTTGTAAGCAAGCATGCTAAATAAGAATAAATATTTTGAGCTCAATTTTTAAGCTAAACACACGCAAGACTGTTCCTAATAAGTCTAAAAAAATAATAAATAAATAAATATATTTTCAAATATATATATATATATATATATATAGGCTGATTCTGGCTTCGTTTGGGACGGCTTTTTTACTGGTTTTAAAAGCTACCTTTTAATACAATAAATCTCTTAAAAATAAGAAAAAAATAGTGATTTAAAGCTGTCCTAAACGAAACCTATGTCAAATTTTTATATATATCATATATGTAAGTTTTGAATTCAAGACTTCTTAATTGATAGATAAAGCTCCTAATTAAGTAATAAAAAATAGCTGCATATTTTATATATACTTTTAATTTACGAAGTGATTAGTAGACATAAGTAGAATGATGGTTTGACTCATCATTTATTGAATTATATTTGTTTTTAATTAGGCCGTATTTGACTCTCTAACATGTGGGATACGAGCATATTATACAAAAACAATTTTAAACACCAGCCTTGCACGAACATCCTAAATTTCAAGAGAGGCTTCCACCGAGATTTATTGTTTCAATATTCATACGCCAAATGAGTTTTATGCATTCTAACTACAAAAATAATTTAAACAAATCCGTAAGGAACTTGTTTTGATGGTAGCTTCAGGAATATGGATTATGGAAGCAGATCCAAGGGTTAAACATTTGTTAAATTTTGTTTACCTTTAGGTCTCGTCCAAAAAGATTTGCCTCACCCTCTACCTCCTCGCCTTTCAACAGTGTTCGCTCCCGCTTGTCATCACCGTGCAGCTCGTTTCTGCGTCCTCTACTTTCCTACTCTGGCGTTTGGATCCGGCGCACTTTCTTGATGAGTCCGACGAAGTTACCGGCGGCACCTTTTCTGTTGATAATAGCGGTTGTCCTCCCCGTTCTTGTCGTCGGCGACGATATAGTACACGAGGATGACAGCGCTCCGAAACTCCCGGGTTGCTCCAATAACTTCGTTCTGGTACTTTCTCTTTTGCATTCATCAAAATATGTTCATCTTAAAAGGATTGTACACCGTTTATTTGTTGTTTACCTCTCTTGCGGGGGGTTTGCTACGAGTTCTTTTGTTTTAGTGGTTTGGCATATTTTGATTCTGCCGGATGGGGAAATTTTCTTACTGGATGCTATAGATAAGAGGAGATGTGGTCATTGGAGCGATGCACGCGTTTGATTTCAGACGGGGAGTAGGATGTGCTAATTTGGTCAGGTAATTGGGTAGTCGTGCCCGGCGGACGATTAAGTGAATTTGGGGAATTAAGGGGATGTGATAGTGGAAACTAAGATGATGCAAGTTAATTTGTAACTCAACCCCGAAGATTCCTTGCTATTTCCAAAAATTTGCTGCTACCGCTCATTATAGGGTTTTATTTTATCTTAGCAAGCCTAAGGAAGAGGACAAGCATTATATCTGCATGAAGTGTTGTATTCTCCTAAAGTGCAATGAAACGTTTTATTTATTCTTATATTGTCTGTTCGGGATTTTTCATTACATTTGAATACTTGGGTGCAAATCTTTGTTTAAATTCTTTGGAATATAGATTTGGACATCTATGTGACAAATTTATTGTGTCACACCTTTGAATTTACGCATGATGATATTAAATCTTCTCATGTCACATCTTCTAATCTAGATGTTACTGTTTTAACATGACATGCTAAATTTGGGCACATAGCTCATTATATGCTTGATAGATTAATGAGGGAAAATTTTTTAGAGAATTTCATAAGTGTATTATCAACTACTTTTGAATATTATTTAGCATGCAAAGCGATCATATAACCATTTGAAAAGTGGTTACGAGTTGTTGATATCCTATAAATGATTCATTCTGATATATGTGATCTAATGAGTGATAAAGCACATCACGGAGCATTGCATTTCATAACATTTGTAGATGACTACTCTAGATTACGACATGCTTATTTATATTCACAAATCGAAGGCTTTAGGATGCTTTGAGAAGTACCTAACTTTAGTTGAAAGCCAATTGAGTAAGGTATGAAAGACTTTTAGAATTGATAGCGGTCATCATTATTTATCATAAAAATTTAAAATTATATGTGATGAAAAGGGTGTTACATGGTAATAGCAATTCCTATACCCCACAAAAAATGGCGTTGCAGAAACATAAGAATTGAACATTGCTTGACATAGACAAATCCATGATGTTATATCACCTTAAAAATAGGACTTATTATTTAGTTTATACTTCGAATCATTAAGAAATTATGTATTAATTGACATGTTAAAGCGCTTCATTCTTGTATGAGATGGTTAAATTCACCAAAAACTCACACAGACAATCTTTCTCAAAATTAACAGAAAATCTTCATTAAAAATAACAGGTTTGGGAAGGATTAGCTCAAAATCAATCATTTTATCTGCTCAAATAAATGATTTTTGTTGTTGCTCGAGCTGAAATTAAAATCTTCAATATTTAGTTCAACTTGTGATACATCCAAACTAGTTTTGCTGTTTCCCTTCACGTATAGTTAGTATTAGTTACTCAATGCTTAATCTAGGGAAAGTAATGTTTGCACTCTTAAAATAAAAAAAATCTATTCTTGAATCAATGCCCATGTAGCAGCTGCTGTCACATCTGTTTATGAGGAATTATTTATAGTTTTCTTATTTAAAACACACATGTGTGCACTCAAGTATATATATATATATATATATATATATATATATATATAATCTTTAAAATTTCTATTTTAAATGCATTAGAATGTACTTAAGAATAGTTTTCAATTAAATTTTAGAAAGTCCATGTAATAGTACATCAATTAAATGATTCAACAAGATTTGTTTAGACTTCATTCATTTTGGTTTTCGTTCATTTTGTTTGATCTAACATAGTTAAAGTAGAGAGAGAAAGTTTTTTAAGAGGCATCTTGCACATGGTCATGAAGCCATGGAGGTGGTGTATGTTCATATAATGATTTCTGTTGCATGTTTCTCTTCCAAATTAAAATTGCTAAATGTCAGGCTTTTGAAAAACAAAGCGGCTGGAATGCATTGCCAACAAGACCCAGATATAATAATTTTTATTTAAAACTGAATTTATTTACACTAAAAAATTATTTTTTCAAATATAACTTGCGTAGATTATTTAGACTATAATATTAAAGGAAAATGTAATTCAGGTAACATTATCAGGAGATTCACACAGATATAAAATGATACACAATAGTTGAATACCAAGTTTTTATGTATATGTTTATTTGGTAAGTGACGTTCCATTCATCCAACTACTCTATCCTTGTCCATATTAGAAACTTAATCGTGTTATTAACTATATTGTGATCACAATTTTTTCCCGCAATAGATTAGAGTTAAATCTTCTTAATCCTCAATTCTTTCAAATTATTTTACTCAAATTACCTAAATCTTACTTTCTATCTAATTCCTTAAAATTGTTATTATGTTCATAAAATGAGAATCTGATTGTGTTTATTCTTTATTGTTATATTGTATTAGCAATTTTTCCCACTTATATCATTATGTTTTTAGATTTGATAGTTAACATTTGGCACGTATCAGGTCAAAGTTCAGACTTGGTTTGACAATGTAGAAGACAGTGAATTTGTTGGTGTGGGAGCTAGGTTTGGTCCACCCATTGTTTCAAAAGAAAAACATGCTAATAGAACTCAGCTTATTTTATCGGATCCTCCGGAGTGCTGCACCCAACCCAAAAATAAGGTTTAATACTCATGTTCTAACATACAAAACATGTTTTTTTTGCTTCACATACAAATGCATGATTGAGGTCCTTCTCTATAATAGATTTCTGGAGATGTTCTCTTAGTTCATCGAGGAAATTGCAAATTTACAACCAAGGCTAGAATTGCTGAAGCTGCTGGTGCATCTGCCATCTTGATTATAAATAATCGTAAAGGTATATATAATAAGCATTAGATCTGGCTTTTTAATATAAAAAATATGAATAATAAAATAATTCTTAGTTTCTGTATTAATAAATTTTAGAATCGAATAAATATTATTTTTCCGTATTAAGCATCTTTTTTGATGCTTGCAATTGGAGTATAATGCCATAGTTTTGATTGTTCTTGATTTAATCCTTGCACTTAATCCGTTCAGAGATATTCGAAATCCTCAATCCATAAGGAGATGATTAGCCAAATGCTGTTAATATAATTTTCCATGAATTGATTCACTGTGCTTCATGCGGTTTGAACAATGGAGAATTCTTATTATTTGCATTGATTTCGCTCATTCCAGAAGCCTAATGCAGTTGGTTTATTTGTTCTTGTGCTAATATAGGTCCATTACTTTATTCAAAAAAGTTATCTTCATTCTTGTTCTACTGCATGTGTATCAAGCATTAGCATATTGTTGACAAAAGCTATAAAAGAGTGTTACTCATTGCTCGAAGCTTCCAATTATGCAAAGATTTAGGGAGAGATTGATGTATGTAGTCGTTATTAAAGTTTCTTTTTCGTGTCTTTATTTAATGTCTTCAAAATTAAAATAAGAGCTATTTAGCCACCTGCTCTTTGTAGTGGTTGAAGTTTTTGAATTTTCAAATATTTAACAAACTAAACAACTTTGATATCTTGCAACAACTTGACTCCTTCATTATTAAGTTTCTCAAATTGGCCAAAACTTCGGGTCATGTGCCTACGTTTTCTAACCCATCAATCATTTTCTATCCATACAAAATTTTCACCAAAAATTTGAAGCATGCCCATTACCATGTTATTTTAGTAGGGTACTCTGCTTAAATTGGGTTCTCTAGATAAACAAAAGTGAATGATTACTACAGTTATATAAGGTTTTTGATTTTTTTCTAAAGTTGCATGCTAAAGTTGTCAAATAATTGACTATTAATGTTTGATATCAAGACTTAATAAAGAAATATGTTATTAAATTAAGTTCTTATATGCATATGTAGTGGAGGCTAATACTTGCTTGAATGCAGAATTGGTATTCTAGTGCCTTCTCTCCTAGTGTCTTTGTTCTTTTCATCTCCTAGGCTAACCTCCATATTGATGAATCTCTCTGACATCCTTCACTCTCCCATGAAATCCATGAAAGCTCTCTCCAATGCTCAAAAATTCCATGCTTATAGTCTCGTTTGGTTGGCCAGTTGCTGGAACATGACTTGCATTTACCTGACATTTATTAACAATAGTCATATAATAATTGCTCTATTTTTTTTTAGAATAATTATCAGATAGATAAGTAATATAAACATAACATGAGGCAATCATGAAGAATCACTAGAAGAAAAGAAAAAAAAACATAATAAAATTAAAGATGATATGATGACATAGGATGAAGTTCCTTCAATTTATAAAGAAAACTATATAAAATCTCATTTTCAGTGCCTTGCTTGCCTGATGAATTTTTTGAATGATGATAATTTTTTTAATTACTGCCCCATTTTGTAAATAAGATTTAAAATCTCCTATCAACTAAAGCGTCGATGTTCTGAAGGCTCCTATAAGAATCATAAAGTTGCTATGAATCATGCTAGTCAACATATTCAATAATAGAAAAAAATCAAGGAAAAGCAATCCAAACAATTGTGATAGGTGGTTTCTTATAAGAGTTAATAAAATGAGGAGATCATTTTAGCATATGCATCGGATAGCTGCTAAGATAGTTGGATCATTGTGAGAAGATGATGTGAATCAATGTAGGAATTGCATTCGGAAATTAAAATAAAGATTATTCAAAGCGTTGTCATAACAAATTTTATTACCAACAAAAGTAAAGGGTTAAATCGTTCAAAGTAGTTAACTTGCTTAGTCGAAGATGTGCTTTGAGTTAACCAAACCAATCATATCATTCAAAGATAAAAGAGGTACTTAAATGCTTATAACAAAAATCCCGCAATTAATAATAAAGAAGTTCACCTTGAGTACCATTCTCTCTCTCTCTCGTTCACTCTTGGGCTTTAGCGGAGAATAAAGAACCATGCGAGGATGAGGAGCACCACTACGATGAAGGCGACGAAAGACTTCATTACCGGAGAGGTATTCACCGGAGAAGGTGGTGGCGGATGGCGTCCAATGATCGTCCAAGTGTAACCACGAAATTGTCGGTCGAAAATACTTGCGAGGATAGGGACGACTCGCTCCAAGTACTCTTCGATTGTGGCGTCGTCTTCAAATCCTACGTCGAAGCAAGGAGAGCGTAGGATATCGATGCTCCCGTCGGCGTGGAAAACTAACCCCCACTCAAGCTCCGGATCCGCCATGCAACATTGAGGCAAGGCGGGAAGAAAACAAGGAAGGGGGGTTAGGCCGAGAGCTAGGGGAAATCAAGGAGGAAATCTGAAATTTGAATTTCAGATTTTTCTAGGCTTGAAAGGAGAAGTTATTTTATCATTCAATTCTCCTTCAATTCAATTAAAAAAAAAAGGCAGCCATTATGGAGAGAAATTAAGGGGGTAATTAGTAGGCGATGAGGTGGCAAAGAGAGAGAAAAGGCTATGTATTGGGACCGGCCAAGCAAAGGAAGAAAGAGGGGAAATTTTCTTAAGTAGTGGGCCCCATTAATTAATTAAATCCAGATTTTCACATTCAGGAATTTAATTAATTAGGGAGGTTGAAATTTGAATTCAAATTGGGGTGAGATTCAATTAGATATATTCCTAATGTAGGGAGTTACATTAGGAAAGAAATAATGAGAGGCTTGATTGCAGGAATTTCAAAATTCCAGGGGAATTGGGCGGCAGAATCTTCCCAGGGAAAGTGGCGGACTGGCTAGGTGGTTCGGCGGGATGGTTGGAGCGGTCCCCTGGCACAGCAGGTGGAAGGGGCGCGGGTGAGGGAGTTTAGGCGGAGCTGGGAGAGGGGATTTCGGGATTTGGTTGCAGGGGGTGGACGGGTGTATGGAGGGATTAGTAGGGAAGGAAAAAAAAAAAAAAACAGCGACTTACAGGGAAAACCAAGAGCTCGCCGGGGCGGGCTGTTGGGTATTGCGGTCGGAGCCTCACCTAGGTCTCCTTTCTCTTTTCTCTCAAGCTCTCAAGCAAGAAGACAAAGGAATTTCAGAAAATTTTCATTAATCAATCATCAACCCATACAATAAGAGGAGATCTCCTTATAAAGACCTCAAAGCATGAAAAAAAAAGACTCACATGCCCCTTGGGCTACAATAAACATTACGCCTACATAAGGGCGAAATCGTCACTAGTACATGAAATAAAAGATACACAAAATAAAATAACATAAAATGACATGATAACATCAAAAATATAAACTCCCGATCGTAGCCGTCGATCTACGATTCTTTCGCCGATAAACCTGCCTAAAATGTCTGTCGATGACCTCATCAGAAGAGTTTAGTGTAATATGCTTCTAATGATATGGCGAGGGCTACTGAGCCTAATAAAGAAGTCACCAATCTAGTGTAAGTCGGTCCTAAATATGGAAGAATATCTAATATGGGATGATCCAATGAAAATTTACCTACAATTTATTGTTATAAGCATTGTGAGTGAGGATACGTTGACATCTGAGAATGAGATTACAAAGGAGAAAATATCATTTAGTTGATAAACCCTTCTATTTAAGTGGCTTTGATGTTGTTTCCATCATCCAATGGTAACATTTGGATATTCAATTACGTGCAAACCATTATTAGTGCGCTTATTGGCTAGCGATGCTACTTGTGATAGCTTGTTATGGTTTCTCTATAGTACATTTGTGTTGCCGTGTAATGATATTGGTCTTGCCAAGAACTGCTAGGTAGCCCTCTAAAATTTTTTCCAATAATTCCTCTAAGACTCGACATCTCTGTTACCTTGACCTTTTTTATTATGGTAAAGGCACCTCCTTTGTTTGTCCTACTTTGCATTATTTTGGAGAGGTGTTGGCATTATGAGTGATTCTTCTATTGAATAGCTATAAAGATCTTATCATTCCTTTTGTTGAACTCCACCAAGGGGCACCTTGGCTTCTGCAACAAAAAGTGCAGCTCTTCTGGACTTTTCGGAGGTTTGAGCTGGTGCAGTCGATAATGCCTATTTGGTTTGAGCTCTGATGATGTCTTTGTATAGGCTGCTTGGCTGTGACAATCATGCCTGTCCTGGTCGCCCTTATCATGATGAATGAGCGAAGGACTGCGACCAAAGATCTCTATCAATAGGTCATAATAGAATCATTCATTTGCATCGATGAACCATTACCAGTTAAGCAACTCTTCTAGGGTTGTTGATTTCTTCTTCGTGATCAAGTGTTTAAGCAAAGAATTGCAGAGGTTGAGGATGAAAGTAAGCTTAGCCACACCTAGTTTTGAGTTTGTATCCTACAGGTTTTCTGAGTGAACCGATACACATAGTCCTAAAGGGACTTCCTTTCCCCTTGTTATACTCAAATTGGTGTTTGGGCAAATTTTAATGTCCGCTTAAAGTTGTAATTTTTGCTATGTGCAAACAACCAGGTTGTCATCTTGGATGGAAGGTTGATAGAAATCTCCATGCGGTGTCTTTTATCGCCAAGACAAAAATATGCAACATCATAAGTTGTCGAAGGTCAAGGCTTGCATGATAGTTTGATCAAAGCTGCATAATTGTTTGATGGGATCTTTGTGATGCTTGTAGTGACTAATTATAGAATCTTGACTTGCGTGATGGAATTTTGTGTTGAATCTCTGTTGAGAATGGGTTGTGTCTCATACTCGTTGGTTAGGTGGTTAGCAAAATTAATCCTCTAGGAGTGTTTCCTTGCAGGTCAACCATTTAGGAAGCTGTGGTAGCAGGCAAGATTGATGCGACTGGGTTTTGCTGGAAAATTTCTCTCTGAGATGATGATAGGCGGTGAAGGAACCATGGTGTCGAATTTCTTGGAGCACCTGCAATAATTGCCAAACGGAGTACTGCTCAAATTTAAACATCCATTTTCTTGGATAGTTCTTTATATTGTT